TCTTTCACCCTGTGCTCAGTGCACTACGGCTAGCTTGATTATCACTTCAAAAGTTTTTTTTCTGTTAATTAATTTTTTCTCTTAATTAATTGGCCTCTCAGAGGTGGTAAGACAACTCCCACCTGTTTATGCTCTCTGTATGTGTGTATATATATCTCCTCAATATATGTTCCATTCTATATGCATCCGAAGAAGTGGGCTGTAGTCCACGAAAGCTTATGCTCTAATAAATTTGTTAGTCTCTAAGGTGCCACAAGTCCTCCTGTTGTTCTTTTAGTGCCCCAAGAATCTCAGCCTTCCTTTGATATTGTCAGTGATTCAAGCACTAAGGCTCCACTTGCTAGAGTGACTGCTTTTATAAAGCACAATATTTGAACAGTTCATGCTAACAACAGCTGTAACATGGTAGAGAGAACACTAACATACTTCTGGGGAAATTCTGCACCTCTGCGCATGCGTAGAATTTATGTCCCTTGCAGAAAAATGACTTTCTGACAAAGGAAGCAAAGGGAAGCCACACGAGCAGTCATGAGACTCTCCCCAGTTTTGGGTGCCCAGGGCAGCCGGCAGAGAGGTAAATCACTGGGGGTCAGGGAAAGACCCAGCTAGTGGCTCAGCTGCTAGTCCCGGCTGGGCTGGGGAGGACGGGACTTCCTCTTCCCCTGCATGGCATCCAGGGCTGGGTCAGACCCACCCCCAGATTTCTCCCCCGACTGTAGGAAGCTGCAGGGGGAGGGCTCACTGTGCAGGTAGCTGTTTACCAATCTGCCCAACCACCATGCATCCAGACCCCCCCTCATACCCAGACCCTCCCGCTGAGCCTCACCCCTCCTGCACCCAGAATCCCTGTGATGAACCCCACTCCCCTTACACCTGGACCACTCCCAACAAGCCACCTGCACCTGGATCCCCACCCTACCAAGTCCTCACCTGCTGCTCCTGGATCCCCACCCCAGAGCCCCACTCCCCCAGTATCTGGACATCTCCCCCGCCCAAGCTCTGCACACTCAGACCCCCGCACCCGCCCACATCCACCCCACCCACCGCTGAGCCCCAACCACCTTCACCTGGACCCTCCTACAGAATCCCATTACCATTGGACCCAGAACCCTGCAACAAGCCCC